CCCAGCACGCGCGCAACGGCGTTCGAACGATTTCGACATGCGCGCGCTAATCCCGTTGGGTAACCTGTTATGAACATGTGGAACAACTCTTAATTCCGTGAGGATTCGCAAGAACGCAAACTGTTTTCTGTTGTGTTGGAAATCAGCACTGCGAGACTTTGTGTTTGTTTATATGTGTTTGGGCACTCGGTTTTGTATTCCTTCCGATACCGCACGTTTTTGAAAGATTCTGGCATGCGCGCGCGACCATGCGCGCGCGCACTTCGTCCCATTTTCGCAAGGGGCTCTTGCACACTTGTAATTTTTTACCTAACAGCGAAGACTGATAGTTTTCAAGTGGTCTCAAAAGAGAGAGTATCATGACTCCCCAGGGGGGTCTGGGCAGATGCCGGACGGGTGCCGCAGGAATCCGGGTACTCCTTTTTTTAACCAACTGTAAACCACTTCGTGGTCTTCGAGTTCCCAGAATTCCATTCCTGGGCATGATTTTGAATGCCCGGAACCAACTGTAGGCCACTTCGTGGTCTTCGAGTTCCCAGAATTCCATTCCTGGGAATGATTTTGAATGCCCGGAGCCACCTGTAGGCCACTTCGTGGTCTTCGAGTTCCCAGAATTCCATTCCTGGGCATGATTTTGAATGCCCGGAGCCAACTGTAGGCCACTTCGTGGTCTTCGAGTTCCCAGCATTCCACTCCTGGGAATGATTTTGAATGCCCGGAGCCACCTGTAGGCCACTTCGTGGTCTTCGAGTTCCCAGAATTCCATTCCTGGGCATGATTTTGAATGCCCGGAGCCACCTGTAGGCCACTTCGTGGTCTTCGAGTTCCCAGAATTCCATTCCTGGGAATGATTTTGAATGCCCGGAGCCACTTCGTGGTCTTCGAGTTTCCAGAATTCCATTCCTGGGCATGATTTTGAATGCCCGGAACCAACTGTAGGCCACTTCGTGGTCTTCGAGTTCCCAGAATTCCATTCCTGGGAATGATTTTGAATGCCCGGAGCCACCTGTAGGCCACTTCGTGGTCTTCGAGTTCCCAGAATTCCATTCCTGGGCATGATTTTGAATGCCCGGAGCCAACTGTAGGCCACTTCGTGGTCTTCGAGTTCCCAGCATTCCACTCCTGGGAATGATTTTGAATGCCCGGAGCCACCTGTAGGCCACTTCGTGGTCTTCGAGTTCCCAGAATTCCACTCCTGGGAATGATTTTGAATGCCCGGAGCCACCTGTAGGCCACTTCGTGGTCTTCGAGTTCCCAGAATTCCATTCCTGGGCATGATTTTGAATGCCCGGAGCCAACTGTAGGCCACTTCGTGGTCTTCGAGTTCCCAGAATTCCATTCCTGGGAATGATTTTGAATGCCCGGAGCCACTTCGTGGTCTTCGAGTTCCCAGAATTCCACTCCTGGGCATGATTTTGAATGCCCGGAGCCACCTGTAGGCCACTTCGTGTTCTTCGAAATCCCAGAACCCCATTCCCGGGCCATATTTTGAATGCTGAGGCAGGCTGAGGCTGAGGCTGAGGCAGGCTGATGCTGAGGCAGGCTGAGGCTGAGGCCGAGGCTGAAGGCAGAGTGAGGCTGAGGCTGAAGCAGGCTGAGGCTGAGGCTGAGGCAGGCTGATGCTGAGGCTGAGGCAGGCTGAGGATGAGGCAGGCTGAGGCTGAGGCCGAGGCTGAAGGCAGACTGAGGCTGAGGCTGAAGCAGGCTGAGGCTGAGGCTGAGGCAGGCTGAGGCTAAGGCTGAGGCAGGCTGATGCTGAGGCAGGCTGAGGCTGAGGCTGAGACTGATGCAGGCTGAGGCTGAGGCAGGCTGAGGCTAAGGCAGGCTGAGGCTGAGGCTGAGGCAGGCTGAGGCTGAGGCTGAGGCAGGCTGATGCTGAGGCAGGCTGAGGCTGAGGCTGAGACTGATGCAGGCTGAGGCTGAGGCAGGCTGAGGCTGAGGCCGAGGCCGAGGTTGAAGGCAGGCTGAGGCTGAGGCTGAGGCAGGCTGAGGCTGAGGCTGAGGCAGGCTGATGCTGAGGGAGGCTGAGGCTGACGCTGTGACTGCGACTGCCGTTGCCACTGCGACTGTCATCGCGAATGCGACTGCGACTGCGAGAACACTGGATTCTCATCTGAATCTTACGGGGAATGCTTCCAGATATGCTCCTACACATCGCTGTTCGGTTGCTTTGCCGGGATAATTCAAAACCAATGCGCGCGCAGAATACCCTGTTGCCGAAGATGACGGGGGGGTCGATACCGGCTGGGCTGGGACTGTAGAGGATGAACGGCGGGGTCGATACCGGTTGGGCTGGGATGGTACGGGTTCATATTTAGGATGGGCGATGGGGCGCAATCGCATGTACATTGCATACGAAAAGGGGCACCTATAATCCCGAGGGGGGGGTCTATTCTTTTTAACCGGAGAATCTATGCGGCGACGGGTGGCGACGGGGCGGCGACACTTTCCACAAGGTGGCGGAATCGACAGCCAGGCCCAGACGAGTGACGGGGAGGGGCGGAGACAGGGCGGCGACGGCGGCCACAAGGCGGCGGAAGCAACAGTGACTGTTGCTTCCGCCGCCCGTGGCCGACCCTCGTCTGGCCCTGACTGTCAGTCAGGGCCAGACGAGGGTCGGCCACGGGCGGCGACGAAGCGGCGAAAACGGCCACAAAGTGGCGGAACCGACAGAGAGGCCCAGTTCCGGAAATCAAAGAACCCCTAAGTGCAAACACCAACTGGAACATAACAGAAAAAACGCAGATACCACGATAAACCAGCGTATACGATCATAGAGCAGAACCGAACGGACTGTAAATTCACATCAAAGACAATGATGTCGCAGAATAGAATAGAACATAACAGACCCATGCACAATCTGGCATCTGGGAACTGAAACGGTAACACGAAACTCGCATAGCATTGTGAACTGTAGCGATTCCGTATGGAAGATGGGGGGAACGAAAATATATTAGAAATGGCATGGAACGGTCTGGAGTTAATGTGACATGACAGGATCAGAAACAATACGTAGCACCCCCCATATGCGGATAAGAGTGAGGGGGCGGTGGCGACGTGGGCAGTTTGCGAGACTCTGGAGAAGCCCGCCGCAGGCGCCAAACCACAATTTCACAAATTATACAAAGAACCCGCCGCAAGCGCCGATTTTCCGTTGAACCAATGTGGGTCGGTCGCGGGTAGGTCGCGGGTGGGTCGCGGATGGGTCGCGGGTGGGTCGCGGGTGGGTCGTGGGTGGGTCGCTGTTGGGTCGCGGGTGGGTCGCGGCTGTGTCGTGGGTGGGTCGCGGGGTGGGTCGCGGGTGGGTCGCAAGTGCGTCGCGGGTGGGTCGCGGGTGGGTCGCGAGTGGGTCGCGGGTTGTGTCGCGGATGGGTCGCAGGGTGGGTCGCGGGGTGGGTCGCGAGTGAGTCGCGGGGTGGGTCGCGGATGGGTCGCGGGTGTGACGACGACAACAAAGAACAACTACGCAACAAACAGAATCCTCACTATGGATCCCCACTTCAGCCACGCATCCAGGGACAATGAATGACCGTTCGGCCCCCTCACTCTGATAACATAAGAACTCATATACTCTGCTGTGACAAAAGCATCTCAATGATTGCAGAAGGTGAGACAATATACTGGCTCAGTCACGTATGGAAGAATCGAAGACATGGGACCACAATTTTCTCCGACACCATTTGCTCCGTCCGTTTTCTCTGCCGTACGTTTGCACGCATAGCAGGCACGCGCACCGTTGGTGACAAAGGCCGAATCTTTGGGTGGGACCGCTCGAAACAATATAACTGTCGCAGTGGCGCCGCGCACATTCGTCCTAGAAGTTCCCCAACGCTTGCACGGAGGGCGGCTCAAGTTCGAAATGGGGTTTTCTCTCTGGACGTTCCCAGCCTTCCAAACCCGCATCCTGCGACACTGTGCAACGACAGCGCGCACGGAGCGCGGTTCCCATTCAAGGCGGGGCTCCCGCTGAACACCCACTGCTGAAGCGCGTCGCGCTGCCTCTCTGCACTGCTTCCGCCCAGAAGGACGGAGGTGAGATCTTTTTCAGCGCGGAGCCCTCGCCTGCATGGCAGGCCCACGCTGCGCGCGTTCTTCAGGAGGAGGAGGAGGAGGAGGAGGAGGAGGGGGAGGAGGAGGAGGAGGAGGAGGAGGAGGAGGAGGAGGCCGCCATCGCGGGGAGCCAAAGAGACTCCTCCCGGTGCTGTGGCCCTGCCTGTCTCGCTGCGTCCCGCTCGCCATCACCGATCTCCAGCTCTGGGGGGCGCCGTGGGCCAGGGAGCCGCTGACGGTGGTGTCGCGTCTCCTTCCTCCGAGTGCACTTGCCCAAGACGGTAGATGCCTCCCTTGAGGTGCGTACCGCGACACCGCGAATCATAACCCCCAGCCCGTAGAACGGGGCAACAACAAAATCCGTGTACAAAACTAGGCGGGAACTGAAACCCGGGACGGCGAATTTGGATCCACGCGGGCGGAAACCAGATCCACCGCAACATATTTCGGAATCGAAGCTGGATCAACGCATACTAAACTCAGATCTGCTCCAATTGTGTTCACACGTTCCCTGCCACTATTGACGCTGTCCGTTCCAGGCCAAGGACAAATAGTGTTTTCCTGCGGATATATTGCAGCATCGTTGATGGAGATCCTAGGTTGGCTCTCCTACTCCTTCTCCTCCTGCTCCTCCTCCTCCTCGTCCTCCTCCTCATTCATTCCCACATACCGAGGTGCCAGATGCATTCGACGGAGCAGTTCACGAAAAGAGACTCTTTACTCATCTTATCCTCCTCCTCCTCCTCCTCCTCCTCCTCCTCCTCCTCCTCCTCCTCCTCCTCTAGCGGCAGCTGGATCATCTCGCCTCTGACCCTGCTAGGTGTGGGACAAGAGCATAGCCACACCGCTCCCCCGCGGACCTCTCCTGGGGTGCGTCCTGACCAGGGCCTCTGGGCAACTCTGGCCGTGGTGGCACAGCAAGGGCACTGGCGTCCACCACATCATGTTTTCTCGCTTGGCCAAGCCGCGGGGGCAAGCGCTCGAGGCGTCCGACGGGGTGCCCACATCTTCCCCCTCCCTGGCCTCTGCGCCTCCGATGGGCTCGCGCCGGGTCCGTGCGCGCGCGCGAGCTCCGCTCGCGGGGGAAAAAAAGAAAACGCATCGGGTGCAGAGCGAGTCGCGCGAGCTCCGGCGAGGCCACGCCCCTCTCTCGCTGCTGCTGCCTCCCAGGATCATGTTGCTCCCATCGCACTCAGGGACCACATCCCAGAAATATTTGTTCGAGCGCCAGGGCGTGCTAAGATCTCCGGTACCTGGTTAACAGTATTTCTAGTTCGCGCGCGCGGGGCGGCCCCTGGGGGTCCCCGGACGAAAAGTACCCCGGTAAGGTCCCGGCAAGTCCCCGGCAAGGTCGGGTCAGAGATGCCAGAGTTCTGTTACAGGGCCCCAGGACGGGCCAAGAGGTCCCCAAGAAGCCTCCAAGACGGTCCAAGAGGGCCCCGAGACGGCCAAAGATCGCCCGAAGACGCCCAACAGGGCCCCAAGACAGCCCAAGAGGCCTCCAAGACGCCCCAAGGGCCTTCCAAGAGGCCTCCGAAGAGGGCCCCAAGAGGCCAAAATCGTTGATTTTCATTGTTTTTTTTATGTTTTTTGCGTTCTGGCTTTTTCGGCTTCCGGACGCTCCAAGACGGCCCAAGAGGCCCCCAAGACCGCTCCAAGACGGCCCACGAGGCTCCCAAGACGGCCCCGGAACGGCCCAGGAGGGCCCCCAAGACGGCCCAAGTGCCGCCCAAGACGGACCAAGAGGCCCCAAGACGGGCCCAAGAGGGGCTCAAGAGGGGAACCGAGAACTGAAAAATCGAACCCTCCGCCCCAGAAGGCGCCCAGGAGGCCCCAAAAAGGCCCCACGAGGCCCCCAAGAGGCCCCCAAGACGCCCCAAGAGGCGCCCAAGAGGTCCAAAAGAGGCCCCAAGAGGCCCCAAAACAGCCCCCAAGAGGCCCCCAAACTCGGCTAGCCCACAACGGTGCGACAATATGGGCCGGCGGAATGAGCGAAGCGATTAAATATTTGTTCGAGCGCCCAGGGGAAAGTGCCGAAGCAGTGCCTGACCGAAACACGCCAGCGGAGTGTCGGAGGAGCATCGCCTCCAGGGGCCGGAGCACGCGACGTCCCTCCAGTTCAGGGTGCTTTCCTGGTGCTCGACGCCCAGAGCTCGAAACCCAGACCCCCGACTGCGTGATTCTTTCACAGCGTCGACCCCCAGAGGTCTGGACCCCTTCCCCGGGTCCGGTTTCTTATCCTGAATCATCTGTGCTGACTGTCTGGGGGCACGGCAAGGGCCCCGAGGGGCCGAACATGGCGAGAGACCCCCCGTCGTGTTCTTCGTCGCAACGCGCAGGGGGCTGGGGAATTCCTCCTGGTGCGCGGAAGCAGGTCGGAACGTCGTGGTCCTGGAAGCAGCGGCAGGCGGGAGCTCGGGCCGTCGCTCCCGCAGGAGGGACGGCGAAGGGTAGGCGAGGGGGCCGACCAGCCGCAGCCAGGAGAGCTGCGTTCCGCACCCTGCCGCGGGGGGGGGGGTGGGGAACGCATTCTCTGGATGAGGGGAGGGGAGCGTTTGACCTTCTGGGCCCTTCTTGGGGCTGGAAGGAGGGCAGGGGGGGGAGGGGGAGAGTCCGAGGGTCCAAATCGGCCCACGGACCTGCCCTGGGGCGCGTTCTGATCGGACTTGTGCGGGGAATCTGACCGTGGCCCCGAAAGGCCCACAAAAAACGAGACACAAACAGCCGGAAATATGATCGAGAAAATCACCATTCAAGAAAACTGGCCAACTTACCAAACAATTCTTCAAACAAACCTGGGCCGACTTCTGTCGTTGATGCTGGAAGGCGAACGTGCTCGAGAAACCGGGCCAGCTTCCCGGCAAGCTGGTTAAGCCACACTGGCCCAGCGTTTCGGGAGGAGGCTTCTTCATCAAATGCTCGACTGTAGAGCAACCTTGATCCTCCCGGAAACCTCGACGAGGACATGAGCAGGAGAGGGCGGCAAGCAGACAACTGATCAACTCGTGCGGGCCGTCCCGCGTCTTCGGGCCGAGGCGGACTGACTGGCTGGCCCTGGCGGAGACCTCTGCGGGGCCCGTTCTGACCGACAAGCGCTGAGCCCCAGGTGTGCCCCAAGGGGGGGGAGTGAGCGAGGGTAAAGGGATGGGGTTGGGAGGTGCGTCTTCGAGACCAGCTGTTGGGTGGTGTCCTGCAGCTCCCCATGTATCCCCCACATCCTGCAATGGGGATTATGCTAGTGCTCAGGCGCCTCCACTCACACCTCCCTCTTCCCCCCACCACTCCTCGTCCTCACTCATACCCACTCATACTCAGACTCACTCGCACGAATATTCAGTCATACTCAGACTCACGCATACTCACTCGCATCCTCCTCTTCCTCACTAAGACTCACTCATGTTCAGACCCCTTTCCATCCATAGTCACTCACATCCTCCAATTCCTCTCCGAGACTCACTCATGCTTACTCATACTCAGACTCACTCGCATTCAGACTCACCCATGACTAGACTTACTCACAGGCAGCCTCACTCGCACTTGGCCTTGCGACGCACGCGCACTCAGACTCGCAGACCGTGAGGATGTCTCAGCCGATTTGCTGGTTTCAGCTTCGGCATCCCAAGGGTGAGCCGTCAGGGATGGTTGCACGGCCCCGCTCGCGCCCAGATTCTGCAGATGTCTCCCGCGGTTTGCCTGCTTCGCTGCTTGGACTTGTCTGCTTTCAAAGCGGATAGCGAGGATGTCTCGGCCGATTTGCTGGCTTCAGCACCCCAAGGGGGAGCCGCCATTAGTCGCTGCACGGCCCCGTTCGCGTCCAGATTGCTAGGATGTCTCAGGCGGTTTTTCTGTTTGTTTGCGTGGGCTCGTCTGCTTCCAAAGCAGATTGTCAGCATGCCTCAGCCGATCTGCTGGAGTCAGCATCGCAGAGAGGAGCCGCCAGGGGTCGTTGCACGGCCGGGTTCGCGCACAGAGTGCGGAGACGTCTCAGGCTGTTTGCCTATTTGGTTACTTGGGCCTGCTTGCTTTCAAAACACACTGTGAGGATGTCTCAGCCGATTTCCTGGCTTCGGCACCCCGAGGGGAAGCCGTCCAAAACGGTTGCATGGCCCCGCTCGCGCCCAGATCCGGCGCACCCCGCGCACGTCTCGTGGCCCCAGACCAGAGCTCGGCCGCAGGCCGCGGTGGCCACGCTTGGACGGCGGGGGGGCTCGGTCATCTCCGCACACCGCTGACACGTTTCGTCGCCCGATAGGAATGAGCGGCGAGCTTGCGCAGGGGGGTCCCCGATAAGTTCGGCACACCCCTCAAGCGCCTCGTGGCTCCATGAGGGGGCTTCACTTGAGACCCCAATGGCCTCGCTTGCATGGGGGTGGGGGCGTTCATACGGCACACCCTATCAAGCGCTTTGTGGCCACATGGGGAGCTCCGCCGAATGCCCCAGGGGTCTGCCCCGTTCGCGCCCAGATTGTGGGGATGTCTCATGCGGTTCGTCTGTTCGGTTACTTGGACTTGTCTGCTTCGAAGCAGCGAGTGAGGATGTCTCAGCCGCTTTGCTGTTTTCAACACCCCAAGGGGAAGCCGCCAAGGGCTGTTGCACGGCCCCGAACGAGCCCAGACTGCGGGGATCTATCAGGCTGTTTGCCTGGCTGGTGGCACTTTCATAAAAGGGTGTGGAGGTGCCTCAAGCGATTTGCCTGTTGGTGGCTCAGACCATTCTGCTTTCAGAACGGATTGTGGGGATGTTTCGAGCGATGTGCCTGTTTGGTGGCCAGGATCTTCTGCTTCAAGAACAGATTGCGAGGCGGTCCCGAGGGAGGCGCTGGTTTTAGCACCCCCCCTATGGGGGGGTGAGGGGCGCCCGTCCGCGCCCAGACTGCTGGGCCGTCTCAGGCGGTGTGCCTTTCTTGGGCCCGCCCAGATCTCCGATGGCAGAGCAGACTGTGAGGATGTCGTGCGCGAAGCGCTGGCTTCAGCACCCCGAGGAGGAGCCGCCGGAGAGCAGAGTGTGAGGATTTCTGGGGCAAGGTGCTGGCTTCCACACCCCAAGCTCCCCCCCCCCCCAGGGGGGGGGAGCCGCCAAGGGTGGGGGCACTCGCCCGTTCGCTGCAGGTTGTCGGGGTGCCTCGAGCGAGACCATCGTTTTGAGCTTCGGACTCCTGCCCAGTCAAGGCCCAATGGTCACGTCGATGTAGGGGAAAGGACGGCCGCCAAGGAGGAGCAGCGAGGACGGAGGGGGACTCACGATTAGGCAGGAGGAGGGAGGAAGGGAGGAGGGAGGAGAAGAGCGGCGGGGCTACGGCCAGGTGGAAGAGGCAGGGGAGGGTAGGGGACCGCCAGAAAGGGGGGCCACATACCCGGAAGGAGGAGGGAAGACGGAGGAGGAGGGAGGCGAGGAGGAGGAGGAAGGAGGCGGACGCGGGAGGAGGGAGGAGGACGGCCGCCAGGGAGGATGAGAGAGGACGGGGGAGGAAGGAGGCGGACCTAGGAGGAGGGAAAAGGGAGGAAGGAGGGAGAGCAGGGAGGTGGTGAGACGAGGAGGAAAGGGGGAAGAGAGAAAACGGCTCACCGCCTGTTTGTGAGTTGTTGTCGTTGTCGCTGCTGTCCCTCATCGTAGCCTCCGCCATCGTCGTCATCGGCGTCGTACCCGTCGCGAGCTTGGATCCGCACTCACAGCCAGGCACACACGGCCAGATAATCACAGCGGGATGCGCCAGGAAATGAGATGCACATATGGGGATCTCCGCGTCGAACAATTACTGGAGGTGTTCGACGACGCCGGGGCGGGTGGGAAGGATGATTTCATTTGAGAGGTCCGACGATGTTGATCGCACGAGAAAGTGCACATGCAGCATGCTGGTGGTTGGGCTAGGGCAGAGGGTGACGAATGATATTGCATGTGATGTCTACTCTCTACGGTCTACATGTTCATTGCAACCTCCCTAGCAATGTAATGTTCACCATCCGCCTTCTTTTCTCTCGTTCTATTATCCATGCACTACTCCCTACTCTCTAGTATCGCCTGTCCACTGTCCTCTCTGTACGCTTTGCCTTTACCCTCTACGTCCTACTCTCTGTCATCTACGGTATAGCCTCGCTACCCTGTCGGTTCTCTCTGATTTCCCTACTCTCTCCCTCTCTCTCTGTC